AATAAATGACAAAATGACCTATGTAAATTGTGTTAGTCAATTGACCCCATACTTTTGATAAGAGTAATTTTTATGAAAGAATATTGCTTTAATGGGATAATAAAAAGCACTCTGATAACAAAACCTATAATGTTATTAAGACTCGTCTGATTCAAGTAAATATTATAAGACAGAGCTAGCCTCGTACAAGAAGGTATTTTTATTTGATAATATTATTCATATACAGAGTGTAATCGTTAAGTGTGCCCAGGCAATTATTCCATAAATATAAGAGATACAAAAAGATCTAAATAAATATCGAAAGTACGTTGCCTAATGAGTAAATCGAAATCAATAACTTTTTAAAAATAAAACTAAAAATATCCAAAATGTTAACATTAAACGCTCCCACACATTTAATATGATTGTCGAGAGCCTTTAGTTTTCCTACTGTAAGAGGTAACTATAAGTTAACAGATAACAAGTCTACTATAAATGAACTAACAAAACTGTCTTTTAATTGAATAAACATATAATGGCCATGGTAGTCACTTATTTGGTAAAGTTTTAGTTGTCCATAAAAATTAATAAAATTGATCAAATTTTTTTTAGTGCCGATCGACTCTGTTTCATGTAAATATCATTTCATTGTATTGGACGAAAATAATCGGGACAGCAGGATAATGGACATGGGTTCAAGTCCCACCAGTACTACTATGCTACTTCGCTGGCTTAGCGACCCGAAGTGGATCTTGGCCTCCGACACCATAGTACGCCATTTCAGTCGGCCTTGTGCCAATCCCGACCATTCGGACACGTTTATTTCCTTTAGGTCTTTGGCGACTTCATCCTTCCAACGATATCTTGGACGGCCCGCTGTGGCAGCTTGATCCTCTCTCATTCTTTCCACATATCCTAGCCTGCGAAGTCGAGCAAATTTTATTTCCCCGATTATGTTCGGCTCAGACACTAGTTCTATTTCTCTATTGAATCTGGCCCTCCAGTTCCCAAATTCTCCTATGATTGGTCCCAGAATCTTTCGAAATATCTTCCGTTCCACCACTAATAATTTGTGTTCTTCCTTCAGCGTTAGTGTCCATGTTTCACACCCATACATTAACATTAGCCTAATTAATGTTTTGAGACACGAACCTTTGTAGTCCTGCTTAGTAATTTGGACACCAACACTTTGTGAAGGGCTGCTGTACATCGTAGTCCCATCAGGTCAACGAAATTTTTCTGTGTGTCCAATCTTTGTATTCGTAATCATAAATAATACTAGTTTACAAAATTTTACTTTTTGCCAGTTGCTGCGAATTTCATAGTTCATAAAACATATGTAATACATGCCAGTTTCAAATCTACGTTCAAAATTTTGTGTACAGCTCTAGTCGCTTCACTATTATATTTCGTCGTTGATGTATTATTGTTGGTTCATACGTGCATATCGCACCTCTGGAAAGACAACGACATTATTGCAAATATTTCATTTTTTACTGATTTTTTAAATTGGTATTTATTATAGCATTAGTTGCAAAAAATCATTAATAAAGATATAGACTTACTTGCGAGAGTGTTGCATTATTCTAAAATTTCTATTTTGCTTGCTATTTATTTATTAATTTAGCAGGTACCTACAGTTGCGCCGCTGTTGTTATTAAAATGTTTATTTACTTTAAGAATACCAGAAAAACACTGACGTAAATTCAGGACATCAGTTTTGAAATAAAAAAGAATTCATAAATTGGTGGTTAATTACTACTTATATCAATTCATCAATTTAATTTGGTACACATTTTACTTTCTAGTACTAGCAGTAACCATAAAGTATATTTATAAGTAAGGTAAGCACTTTCACCTGACAATGACAATAATATAATAATATAACTATATCCAAAAAAAAACAAACAAAATACAACAAATACAATAAAATGTACTTTTTGAAACGTTTGCATTTACATCATTGTTGTTGTGTTAGGACTATTAAAAGAAGTTTTTTCAGTATTACTCATACTGTCCTTACATTCACAACATAAATTATTTTTGCAATATGGAGTGTATGTGTTAAAACATAGTTTCCCAAAGCGGTCTCTACCGCTCCCCAGTGGGCGCTGAATAGTCCCCAGGGAGCAAAAAGGGCCTTGGAAGCAATTAGGTGGCATTGATGCCGTCAAGGGGATGGTCCGCATTTATTACCGAAAAAAAAAACCTGAATTATCTATATAAAGATATGCCACATATATATAATTTTTTTTCCTTGTGATTTTTTATAAAAAATACTTGTTTTCAAGTATGTTTTGTGGTGTTGGGAATCAAAATGTTTTTTATCTTGCCTAAGTGGCCACAGGTGGGAACCTATGTGTTAAAAGGTTGTCGTAAAATATTGAAGATTTCATTAAAATGCTTATTTGCTTTATTTTGGCAAACTCCTGGAGAAACATGACAAGCCCTAGGCTCCTGATTGTGTTTCTAAATAATGTATTGAATATTTAAGATTATGACAAAGTGGCAAAAGAGAGAACCTATGAACCATCTTGATGACTGTTATTTTTGTAGTGCTGTCTTAAAGTGTATAAACATTAGAAAAATCGAACTAAACGGAAGTATGAAAGTACTACATCTGTCAAGGGTCCAGTGCAGCATTCAGTTGACGTTTCAGGGGGTCTACTCATGTTCTACCTCCAGCATACTTTTGAAACAATTACTGTCAAATAAGTAATACTCTACCAATGTCAACAATGTCAAGTGTGAAGCTTTATTCACATCATGCATCTTTTAAATTGGTCGAGTACTACTTTTTGACAGTAATTGTTTCAGGCAGATATCTGATGGAGAACGAGAGTACAGGGCCAGCTCCGTTAGTTTCGGTTGCTCAAAATATCTGAACAAAACACAAGAACAAGTCAAGACAAAGAAAAAACTTCATCAAACAAGACAATTTTGTTCAGCTTACTATGGAAAAAAGCAGGTATTTTTGATGGTCCCCTTATCAGAAACTTATGTTTTAAGCTAAATTTAAAAATTCCATGACTGATAGAAATAAACGCTTGAACAGCTTTTGCTTTAGTGATCCGGAACTTTTTGAAAATAAAAATATCAGAAAAATACGTTATACAGGTATAAGATTTTTATAATTAAAAAATATGGGATACAATATAAGTACAAAAGTCCACTTTCTCCACAGTCACAAGACAGCTTTCCGAAAAATCTAGGAGATTTGAGCGAGAACAGGGAGAATGCTTGCGTGCCTCAGTGTTTACATGTTACAAAGGATCAGGGTATTTAGGATACAAATATTGCTGAGAATATCTGGCTATTACTGGTCCCTGATACACGCTTTCTCTAAGTTTACACATAAGAAAAGAATTTAAGGCAAAGTATTTTAGAAATGAACAGTTAATTTAAACTTTACGCAATTTTTTCCAAGCAAATAAATGTTTTTGCTTATCTAAACGTAGATATCTGTAACTCAAAAACTAGAGCCTATAAAAAAAATGTACTTGTATATTTGCAATTAGCATATTATTGATAGCCAGCAACAGCTAGAATATTTCTAGCAACAAATGTTGTGTAAACTATCTAGCAACAAATGTTGTGTATCTTAGTTATTTTAACACATTCTCTTACCTTACTGCAACAGTGTTAATGATGCTTTAGGTCTTTCTGACTGACAAAGTAAAGTAAAAACTTTTTGTGCAACAGTCAACACAACTCCATTGTTTTCTGTAGATAATAATAATGGACAAAGTGACCTATCTAAGTTGTGTTAGTCAATTCACTCCATACTTTTGATAAGAGTAATTTTTATCAAAGAATATTGCTTTAATGGATAATAAAAAGCCCTCTGATAACAAAAACTATAATGTTATTAAGACTCGTCTGAATCAAACAAATATTATAGGACAACTCAGAAACAACCTTGTAGATGTAGGTATTTTTATTTGATAATAAATAAATATAATAAATAAAATAAATATAATATATAAGACAGCTAATAAACAACCTCATACACAGGTATTTTCATTTGATTATACTATTTATATTTATATATAAATGGCATGATGGCAAATTTGTAAATTATTTGTATTAATTGTAATATGCAAAGAATTTGATACTAATATCAACTTAAACTGTGTTAAAAGACCAAAAAATTTAGGGTACCAAGAGATTGTCACATTAAAATTATACCAATGCCTGCTATTTTAAAAAGAAAATAAATATTGTTGTTAGAACATCTAAGATCTGGCAGAACGGCTTAGACCCCTCAGCCTGTTCCAAAAGACGAACATTTTTACCAACTACTATTCCAATGTTGATACAACATGCCAAACTTATCGTAATTGATAACAGTGTCAAATTCTTTGCATATAGAGTTTAAACTAAATAATTTGCATATTTGCAATTATAGACATTTCTAAATGCAAACAATAAACACAAAATTAAATGTATTCATATTTTTTTATTTCTTATTTTAAACTGTTTTGAAAACTATTTTGAATTATGATTGTGATAAATTTTAATTTCTACATATGAAATTTTGATAAAAAAATAAATAGAAGGTTTTTATTTGTAATATTTGCTAGCTAACCCACAGACGCAAGTAATGCTACTAAATGAACTATTATTGTAAGAAGAGAACCTTTAGCAATTAATATAACATACAGGCCACATACATGCTCCAAGCAATAATTCTAAATTTAAAAATATATTATATTGGTTTCATACATCCACAAATTACATGCCGATTTAGAATTTAAATTTATTAACATACGGCACGTATCTTTACGTCTATGCTTAAATCGCGAATTAAAAAATGACATGTAATGTGACCCCTCTAATAGAATAAAATACCCTTATCCTATCAATAGTTATCATCCCATAAAACAATGATTCATACTAATTAGGCTGGCTGACTCACTAATAGTATCGCGCGATGTTTTAATAGTTTATTTCTCGACTTTCTTAAGTAGAATTACAAGTAGTAAAAGGAACAATTAAAATAAGTAAAAAATGCAACTTACTTGTCCATAACGTAGCGTAAAGTTATGAAGACGAATGCTAACGGTATTGGCAGCAAAAGGTGCCTGTAATCCGTATAAACTACGACCTTATCTGGCCCAGGAGCCAGATCGGCCCACGTTGTGTTAGGCGGTAACCACACATCTTCATTCCAGAACTTATCCAGTAAAACACGCAGCATTGTCACTTATTTAAACACACTTTTATTTGTTCCGCACTTTACGAGAAACGAATTAAAGTCATTTAATGTGGAAATTCAATAATAAATTCAAATATTCAATGACGAACACCCACAAGCCGAGTCCAGCGGGCGGAGAATAAAAAAATAAACGTCAGAGTGACAGAATGCATGAATGGCGTGTGGCGCGTTCGAAAAGTATTGGCGCGGTTTTATCAACAGGTTAAATGGTTACAGTTATTATTTATTGTTATTTCTCGCGTACAACACTAAATATTTGATAATAATGAAAGTTATTGAAATATACATTTCATAAACATAGAAATTTTTATGTGTGATTGCCCGAGTAGTACAGTTACTGTAAAAAACTGCAGACCTTTTGAAGTAAAAATGTAAGGGAGTTTTAAATCAAATGCTAGAAGTTTGAAATGTATGTACTGTTTATTACCGATCATTGTTGTAACCGCTTACAAATGAGAATTTTGCAAAACAACAAATATTCACATAGACACATTTGGTCATTTACGTTATGTACACGCTTTACATCACAAACATAGGTATCAGTTATAATGATAAATATATACTAAACATTGTAAAACATTTTAAATTTTAACAATATTACCCACAAAGTGACAATTTTAGCACTGGTTTTGTGACTTAGTGTGGATATAAAATTTTGTGTCTAAACTTTTAAAAAAAGTAAAATATAATGTGCTTAAAGGGTCAAAATGTGGCAAAAATTGCTATAACTTAACGAACTAGCTTATACACTAAAACAAGTAACCATAAGACAAAACAATCTTTAAAAAATAGTGCATACTGTGTTCAAAAATAATTTGTTCTCATTATCAGAAAAATGCGATAAAGAATTAGGCTCTAGACCGACAGACTGCATACCAACTGCACACCGACTGCAATCGGGCTGCACGGTCGACGAGCAGTTGAACCAATTGCATTTGAACTGCATTCTAAATGCAAACTTGCAGTCGGAGGGTAGTTGAAATGCAGTCAGTCTAGAGTCTTAGAGATCAACAATAACAAACCCATTTCAAGTCTGAATCATTACACGTCCAAATTGACTATAACTAAATTGTAGTGTACTTTAACTATTATGTATAGTGTACTTCCACGCATTACAATTAATGCACGAGAAAGGCACAAAATTATCTTATAGAGATTTGAAAAATGTTTACAATTTGTGATTCAATTTGTAAAGAAATGCATTACCTTACGCAAATAATTTAAAAATATTGCCGTGCAAGAAATAAATGGGTCTAAACAACACGACGATTTTATACGATATTTGGATAACGAATCCTCAAATACCAGCAACTAAAATTATAACAACGTACACAATAATTAACAAACAATATAGAGGAACAAAATTTTAGTAAATTTTCAAACAATCAAATATAAAAATGGAATTTTCCAAGTAATGAGAATTATCTTAAAAATAAAAGAGGAAAGGTATCTTAGTGCACAAATTCTGTACAACATAAATTCTAAGATAAGCATCTTTGGGGCGTACTCTCGCTTCAAATAAAATAAAATAAAATTATTCATTAGGCATAGTATTATGTGCAATTTATCATACACTATGTTTAAATGATATGGATGGATTACGTAATAAAATAAACGCAAATAATTGTATCTTTACACTTATCGTTATATTTATTCTATGTAATAAATGTAACAGTAATCTTATTAAGAAACGTTATTAAAGTTCAGCCATACCAAAAAACATATTGCACTTTCAAAATACATCAATGTACACTTTTGTTTTACCGTAAGCACTTAGAATATTAAGCCGTAAGCCTTTAATTTATTATTTGGTGTAAAACTTACACAAGTGTAGGCACTAACTATCAATTATTACGCTATCTAAAGGTAATATTATTATCATATAACAATATGATTAACATTAGGATCGAGTGAAAGTTCCACCTTACTGAATACATAATAAATTTTACCATTATACACAAATAAAGAAACGTTTGCATTTTGCAATCTCGTAAAATAACCCGTGACACGCCATTCACAGCTTGTCAAAAAACTGTCATCATAAGATTGTAATTTTCAAACCTTTTATCTCCTAAGTTAATTTGTAGAATACAGTAAACGTTTAAAATAAATGCAGAAGTGTGAACCAACCACTATAATAATAAATACTTTACGATATATTAAAACCAACTAATTTCAACTAGATGGTCCCGAGCAAACAAATTTTAACCACATTGTAAATCGATTCTCGACTTTATTACTGTTCAAAAAACTGTCAAGTCATGTTAACATGACATAAATTTTAAAATTTAAATCCATCCATCGTGTACCTACATATTGTGTTAACAGTGTCGATCGTCGCAAGCGCCGCGTAAAATATTTAAGACATGGATCAATAATTAAAAGGACTGCTAATCGCGGTACACCACAGCGCAGTCGGGTATCTCATTCGCGATGAGTATCAAACAGCAATTTTTGGAATTAATTTTTCAAAGCGACTCCAATTTCTAGTAGTAACAAACAAATCAACTAGATGGCGCTTATTGAGCAGATTTTTATTCAGATTTTTACGATTTTGTGCCGGCCATTCTTTTATTTCGTTTAGGATGAATCCTGAACAAAATAAAAGAATAACGCTTTCCGATATGGATCATGAAGTGTTAATTTATAAATTAGTAACACAAAAGACGGAATTTTGACCTTTTTCAGAATTACAATCTGTAGTATGGAGATTAGCCAGTCCTCGATTATTGATCCATGATTAGGGTGAGGCCAGACCAGTAGGAATTTAGTGAGCTGCGAGTGTCGTAGTTTGCGTTCGACTGAAATTGGACTGGGACGCCAAACGAACGTATTTTATTCAGTCACTTTTGATCGTTTGTACAGGCGTTTGTGTCATATAGTGTACCGGATTCATTACAAATAGGGTGCTTTTATGAAGCAAGCGGCGATTCCGCGGTTACCTGACACCAGATTGCGCCACACGTCGCCGACAAGTGCAATTAGTTAGAAATAGTGTTTTATTATATTGCATGTATTTTAGTCCTTAAGATATATTATATAGGTCATGTGGCCTGAAATAAACAAATAAAATAAATTAGACGATGTTAGAAAAAGAAAAAGGAGCTGGTATATCCACTCAATATGGAAGGATTGAAATGTGGGCTGTTTCATAAATAGTATATGAAAGTTTATGAGAATATCCAGATCAATTTGTAAAACACTACCACATGCCAATAAATCGACGGCTTTATAAAGTAGTGGCCTATCTAAAAACCACCTAATTCATCAGGAACTTGGTTTATAAAAACTGAAACGTGTCTGCCGCATAAAATTGACATATAGTAGACTATCTCAACGTTGCCATTTGATTATTTTAACTAATGAAAAGCGTGGTGACCCATTCATAATAAAATTTAGAATTTTCTGAACAAATCTCAGTAATATGTTAATAAAGGAACTATTTTGGATTGAGGATTCTTGAAAAGCAGCAATAAATGTTTCCCTCACCCCTCTGTTCACCCGCACAAACACGTCACATAGTGCGGCTGAAGATCGTTCGTACTTGCGTGCGAACGAGTCGGCAGATAACTCATTCTTCGTCGTCGTGTGGCACAAAGCAGAAAAACGTGACTCACAGTATGGCCTCACCTTTGTGATTGAAAACGTTAGTTCTTCTTGTGGCCGCTAGAGGCGACGTACAATTGCCATAGGAAATTGTCAAACATTTGACACGATTGCTATTGAATACCTACACAGTAAACTCATGCTACAGGTGCTGTTTGCATCTAGATTTTTTCCTTAACGTATATGTAAACAATACTTCTAATTTCTCATAAACGCATTTCCCCTATTTTAGGTTATAAATTACATAATCTTTGTTTACTGTAGGAATCAGGAATTTTAAAACATTGATGTGAACGAAAACGTTTACATATTTCTTTACTTGTAAACTTAATACTTTGGTTTTACGCCTCTTCTTCCCCGCAATATCGATAGACAGGTTGGACCTCAAATGTATGCAATGTTTTTAAGATTGATTTATCATCACTAAGTTTACTGGACGCCTCTTCAAAATCGGGGAAAAATATCGTAATACCTATTCGACACAAAAACGTATGGAATAGCTTTTTTTTTTTCACAATTTCGCAAGGGCCCCATAGTAAAACTGACTTTATTGAGGGGCAGTCACACTGTAAAAACCTCGCATACATCTCAGATTCCCCTGTATAATTTTAAATTAAGCATTTAAAGGCCGTGACCTTTGATAAACTTCGATGTGGGAGTGTTTTTTTTAATATTATTTTAAGCAATCCCAAGCTCATAAGGACGATAAGTAATATAAATAATTGTGAACTTTTTAACTTAAATCAACGACATTAAGGATATCACACCGCTTTCTAACACTAAGATAAAAATGGGCCATTAAAAATTTCAATGTTTAAAACACTAAAAAACTCGGCTACTAACAACATTGAGATAACTTCTAGACGTGTCACGGCCGGTGTTCCGATGCGTAACGCCTTATAGCAGTTGATCTAAGTTTTCTAATGTAACTAACTAGCTAACGTGCTTAAAATATTACTTTTCTGAACTTAATGCTTGATTATACTGGACGTATTATTAATACAAACGTCATTATTTGGTTCCAGTTGCTTTTTTCAATAACTTAGTCTTCAACATCTTTAAATAATTACGTTAAAAAAGATTGATTTGGATTGATCTTTGGAATGCTACATTTCTCGATTATGTACAACGATTTATTTCTCATTTCCAGATAGAATATATATTTTTAAGTCCTAAACTCCTTAAAACATTCTGAACAGCGTGTGCAAAATTTGTTCCATCCAATAATTTCTTATAAATCATCATACATAATGACGTCAGGACTAATCAAGCACTAACCCAGTTGTAAATTACAGCCTTTCAATTAATCGCATATTTAAGGCATGCTCGTTTCAGTCAATGGAAATTAATTATGGAATGAATACTTATTGTTAATATGCGTCAACAATTAATTTCCTCGACTGTACTTGGGGATAAATTTTTGAACCGTTCGAATATCGTTGGAAGACGTACATTATTATGCCACTCGTTAATACTAATTTCAAACTGCGAATGAGGCCAAGTTCTGTCTAAGTCCGTTCGATTCAAAAATAGGTCTCCATTATTGCTTAACTATACAGGTGTCACAAAAATAGTGATGTTTTTAGAATTATTTTCACTTCTGGAAATTCGCAACTACAAAATTACACTTTCAAATATAAAATGCAAAACTTCACTTAAGGCGAAGGTCATATTTGAAAGTTGAATTTTAAGTATTTTACATTTCCATCTATATGGATTTTTAAGTACATACTTTTGTAACAACCCTTTTATACAACAAAATTGCCCTAATACACCTTTAAGTTAATCATCTCTGGTACGCGGATCAATCGCGAGAGGTAAAAAAGTGATAATAATTTGTTAGTCAATAGTGACATGTCATACAACCATGTAATATGTACTAGTCGTGTCGCGAACCCCAAAGTTGAATTCGCTGAGAAGCGCCGGTCCCTATGTCTCTCTGAAATGAAAAAAAGAAAGGTTTGTTGCTTCATATGCTACAAAGTATATTCGAATTCGATAGTATTGTATTGAATGTTCAATAATATCCAATTCGTTGGAAATGGTGCGTACATCTACAAATTCGGACATTATGCAAATTAGGTTTAATTCAGGCTCCTCGAACTTACTTTTTGTTGTTAACGCGGTTCGGTGTGCTGTGGTTAGAATTATGTGAACTGTCACTGATGTCTGAACTAGAAGAGCTTCTGATGTCGCCTTCCATCTAAAAGACACGAGAAATTATAGTTTTTAAATGTAACGCAAATAACTAACACAAATTATAATATGGTAAATATAATTTTCCTGATATTATTACAAATTGTAGAGAGAAGAATCTAGAAGAAGTTTAGTGTTATCCGACACTAACCTTATCACCCCAATTTACACTTTAAGTGGGCAAACACCGAGTTTCTTTGACTGTACCTACTCTAGGCACATTCACCAAAACGCATAGTGAAAAGTAAATAAATGCTTCATGGAACGAGCTTAAGTTTTTGTAAGTAATTAAATTCGTTTGGGTATGTTAAAGGCTTAAATTGAATTCAAAATGCCACGTCGAAACGGTTTATGTCTAGTGGAGAATTTTTCATACTCTTCAACATATTACACAATTATTAATATTATTTTATTATTATAATGATACAAGTTATACATAGGAAATGAAACTATTTTTCCGGATTTAAATCGCGTATATTTGTTTTTCAATCAAACCGACGTTTCGGGCCCTTTACAGGTCCCATGGTCACGGTTGACTTTTGTTGGTTGGTGAGGTGGTACAGTCTTCAACCAGTTATGTCTAATATTGATGCAAACCACCCTATTTTTTCACTATAGTTATTAATTAAATGCCTTATTTTATATTTTACAAAGAAAACATTCCAATTTACGCTATATTAAGTTTTACAAATTATTTTATTGAATGAATTTTTATTAAGTTCAATTTATTTTAATTATTAATAGAAATTAGAATAAACTAAAACATATTAATTAGTACTGCAGTCTTATGTGATGATACAAGTTATAGTCTGTTCCAATCCAATCTAATGTTCCAGAAAAGTTGACCAGACCATAGACAGTTTCGTGACGACCAACTGTACTGCCAACTACAAATCGATTAATTAATTGAATGAATTGATTTGTTTAATTGAATCAGTTGGAATAACTGGAATTTATATAATAAAATGGGTTATTGTTTAATAAAATGGGGGTTATTGAGTGATTGCTTTAGAATTTTAACCAAACTGGTGTGTTTACTTTTTTGGCATAATGGATAGGAACAGACTTTTCTTTTGAATGTGATGGCCCCATCGAATGAACGTAAATCTACATATTTATCACGTATATATCAGGTCAGTCGCATTATTGCCAGATCTAATATATCCGCGGTTGTGTCCTTGTCATTTTTATACTATAGCAATTTTAAAAAAGTATATGCCTTACTTTCTCAAACTCGTATCTTATCAAGAGTGATTACTTAGGAGATGGCAAAAAGAGGCTGTCGAAGAGTATGAAAAATATTATTCAGAGATTTTCACGGAGGATTGGCATAAATGTTTTCAAAATTGGTTCTTTCGTATGAAAAAGTGCATTAACGCTAACGGAGAATATTTTGAGAAACAACAAATTCATTTCTGACTATTTTTTTCTTATTCATTCCGGAAACTTATAGTGAGGCTCACGTATATTAATAAAACTTGGCAAATAGAATTACATCTATTCACCCACATGCTTAAGTCTTTTTTTTATAACTTGTAATTATATTGTGATATATATAATATTGAAGTGATGTGATATATTTTTATTAAGTATAATATACATGGAATAATACAAACCTTGCCCGCATTAATGGCTTTATAAGCGACCTGGAATATAAACCAGGTCCAAACCATATGCAGGGCCAGCAGAAGAAATAGTAATGAGTTGAATATGTAGTACGCTGGGAACATTGGCAGGAGCATCGGGGCGCGTATTGATGTGCTGCAAAAGAAAAGGAAAAAGATTTAGTACTTAACAACATGAACAGCATTTCGCCTGGTTCGGTTCGAAGGTTGGATCACGGAAAAATATTCATATCGACCCCGGAAGGGTAAAACCTCTAACGTGTATTAGGTTATATAAAAATTAATGATAAATTTAAGTATCTATTTATAATTAAATTTTTATTGAATTGATATTCAATTATTTTTTGTGAAATTACTCCACTAGTTTGTTATAATTATTAATACAAAGATCGAACACTCAGAAAAAATTCCTTCGATCCGGTCGGATTCGAACCGACGTCTTCTTGCATACTGTGCCAGACGCTGTACCAACTAAGCCACGGAACGAACCAACGGACCTCACGAATTTCTCTATGTGCTTACGTCGTGTCTTTGGTTTTTCAACGACTTTTTAGTCGTAGCGCCATCTATGAGAAATTTATGACAGATTTATCACCCAGTTAGTACCTTTACAGCTACCAGTTCTGGTGAGAGATGTCGCTATTCACTGTATTAATTAATTTTTTATTGAATTGATATTCAATTATTTTTTGTGAAATTACTCCACTAGTTTGTTATAATTATTAATACAAAGATCGAACACTCAGAAAAAATTCCTTCGATCCGATCGGATTCGAACCGACGTCTTCTTGCATACAGTGGCAGACGCTATACCAACTAAGCCACGGAACGAACCAACGGACCTCACGAATTTCTTTTTATAGCTTTGTGGCTTGCATCGAGTATAAACTGGTCGATTTGAAGTGAAACAATTGACGACACAGGTAAATTGTTTACAATTCGGTCTGAATCGGAGCGCAGATGTCACCGTAATGATTTGGCAGAGTAATTTTCAAACAAATTAAATGAGATTTCGTTTCTATTTCTGGTTATATATTCGATGTATCAATACGATGGGATGTAATATAGTAGAAAAGGATTCTCAAATTTTCAATTTGTATTGCCGATAAATATGTAGGGAATGTAATTATTAACTAAATAATGAATGATAAAGTTGTACACGCAATTTCAAATACCTTGGTTACCTCACTCAAAAGTACTTACTTAATTTAGGTACCTTTAAAGAAGGATGGCGACATCCTGTCTATTTTGCGACCCAGTGTTTTTGACGACGTGCATTAAGGAGACCTATAATACTTGTGATTCATTATCAAAGCACCAAAAAAGCTAATTGAGTACAGCCTGTAGATTATGTTTATAACGTTGTCCTGTATTTCTCTACAGATTTTTGTTCGTAGAAGCAGAAAACAATAAGTGTTCACTTTGTTCTCAGAAATAATAAAGAACTTGCCGAATATTCCGAACTCTGCCACATTTAATATAACTTATCAATATGTTCTGCAGCAATGAAAATGAATAAAAATTAAATATGCCCAAATGGCAGAACTCTGTCACAAATGAAATGAAATAAGGTGTATTTGCATGGAATAGGTTATTACAGGATGGTATTTATTACATTTGAGTGAATGGTCACACTGTTCTCAATATCGATGTGTCATTAATATTGGCAACAAGTCTCTTGTCAAAGCGTTCAAATCAAATCAAAATGTCAAAAGCCTTGCAAGCTTCATTATCTCTCATTTAAATATTGTCTAAACATTTTTGTCACGTTGTGTATTATTTTTTTTGCTTTATGTCATTACTATTTCATTAGGTATTTTATAGCTTATTGTTTATGTGTGTACTATAAAATAACTAATACTTTAGGTAGGTGAACATCCAATCATGTTTAAAATGAGACGTACGTACAGTCAAGAGCACATCAAGCTTGATACTTTGGACTTTGGACCGTTCTTATTGCAAAAGCAGCATAGAGTTAAATTGAAGCCTATAGTGTCAAGCTTCACGTGCTCTTGACCCTGTACAAGAACGTCACCTAATCTAAGGGCGAACTGAATCAATTGCGTTATGTTCTTGCATCTCTTCTAAAATCCAATGTTTTGCATTTTTTTATTCCCGGCTTCTAAAAATATACAAAAGTATATTGATAAACTAATTGGCAAAATTATACTAGCAAAGTCCATGAACGGCTCTTAGTCGTTATTGGGGCAGCTTTCGCCACCCTTCTTTAATTTTTTAAATAAATCTTAGTAAAAAGTTTTACTTAGTAAATTAATGGAAAATATAATATTATATTGCCTAATATAAAATTTAAAATGCCTAATGAACATTAGGATTCTATTAATAGAATTATAGATAACAGATTAGCGTCAGAATTTTCGCTATGTTGTCGCTCTGATCACGTACGAGAAAGTCATGGGTAACCCTGCCACTTCACGCACACATTATTTGCGTGTGTACAGATTGCGCACTGCTGTATGTAGTAGTAGTAGGTAAATAACTTTCGATAGTTGTATGGAGTGTCCGGGGCGTGCTTTGGGATCACAGCAACGAATGTGAAGACTAATATTTATTTATTTATTATACCACAACCCTGCTCAAGTGTAACTTGACTCACCTCCAAATAATATAGAAGGGGAAGAATCCTAGCCTAGTGACGACCCACAGCACGGTGAATATGGCGAATATTGTGTCGCATAATCGCTGGTACGCCGCGTACTTTGCCGCTTTCGCTGCCTGAAATAATAGAAAGCACTTTTAACCGACTTGACAAAAAAAAGGTGGAGGTTCTCATTTCGACAGCATTTTTTTTTGTATGTTACTTGATTACACGGGCATTTGTGAACCGACATCGATGATTCTTTTTTGTTAGAAATAGGGTACCTCAGTATTGGTCCCATATCAATTTGAAAATATTCCACCGCTAAGGGTGCCGAACTAGGGGGTGAATCAGGTTTCGAGCACTTCTCGGTAACTGATTTCAATGAAACCTGGCAAATAATGGAATTACATTTCCATTTATATAGCACACATGTATGCACTAAGTCTATATATATATATCACAATGCATATTGACTTAGTATTTGAACGCTATAACTTAGGTCTTTTCAAGGTGAGAATAAATAGGCATTATTAGGTGTGCATGCCTTGTAGTCGACCTCATCGCCAATTTTCATCAGGTGAGTTGGAGGTCAAGTGAAAAGAAAAAATATATATGTATGTACATATTGAATATTGAATAATTTGTGACTGTTGGCGCAGGTGTTGTAAAAGCATGTTGTTAAGACATACTGTTTAGTGTTCGTTTGTTTCATGTCGTGTTTGATGTGTCTGAAGCTTTAGGTGGAAACCTGTAATTGGCTTTATGTTTCTTTCCCTGTTTTTATAATAATAATAACTCACACACTCAACACAGCGTCGCACTAGGGAAACCCTGTGCCGTGGGTGCCATGGACACACACATAGACAACAACAAATGACAACCAAACTCACGAGAGAAATAAATGTAGGCCATACTAATATTTCTCCCGGCCAGGGAGTCGAACCTGGCACCTCTGTGTGGCATGGTAACCGTTCGGCCAAGTAGGCAGTTTTATTAATTGGTTGAAGCGGTTTCCTGTGAGTAAATAAATAAATAGGAATTGAATCTATTTATTTCAACTCAAACAAACCAACGTTTCGGGCCCATTCCAGGTCCCAAGGCCAGGGCTAACAAAACACGAAAAAAAAATACGCGATTGTGATCCGAAAAAAAGGATATTTATCCTGCCTAATAACATTGTATATACGAAACACTCACGTCAACGCATGCAATGAGTGTACAAGACGAGATAAAATGGAGTTACGGAGTCCATCAAACATGTAACGTGTAAGACAGCTGTAACATCAAAACGACGACAGCTAAACAGTCATGAAAAGGCGCCAAAAACGAGTATACTTCAGAATTTACTAAGTAAAATCCAAAGAGTACCTTATACATAACGAGTAAAGAGTCATCAGTTCATAAGACCCCTGGTGGCTAACGCGGGAAGTATTTTTTCCCTATACACACACATATCTCCAAACTAATTATTTCTACTGGTTTTCTGGTTTCGTGTGCTTATGTAAACATGTTTTGAAGTCTTTTTTTTTATAATTTCAAGTGACGGGACGAGCGCGTCGTGCGCCTGATGGTAAGCTACACGCCTGTCCATAACAGTAGCAGTGGCACTCTGAGCTTTAAATCGCAAAGATCTAAGTGGCACTGCCACTGCGCCTGTAATCCTAAGACGGTAAGTTGACCATGTGCCTGTAATTTCACCAGCACCCTTACCCTTCCAAAAACGGAACACAGCAATGCTAACATTACTGCTTGGCGGCAGAGATAGGTAAGGTGGCAGAATATCCCTGCCCAGCTTAAATACTACGATGCCTTTATGAATATAAATATATTTCGGGTTCGGAAATTATCTAAAATTTGTTTGAAAAAAAAGAGATGCAAGCGCCATCTATTGATTAACGACGTCCATCTTCTTAGACATACAAAGAAAAATGTACGTCGTGATTAGACCGTGGTAGAATCCTTTGATATTAGTGTTTTTAACGTAATAAACGTCAAATACGACTTATTATAGTAAAACAATATTGTATATCGATTATTGATCTAAGTTGTGTCCTTTGAGTTCGCAGTACGTTCAACAATTATTGACATAATACATTTTACAAACAAATATGTAGATTGCTTTTTTTCTTGGTTCCGAATATGTATGTAACTCAATTTTGATAAAAATGTTAGTGTGCCCTTTTTCACTCTGAGGGTCGAGTACCAGGAAACGACTTTCTTTTTTTTTATATAATATCTAACGACGGGACGAACAAGTCGGGCACCTGGCGGTAAGCTATACACCTGCCTTTAACAGTTGCAATGACACTCAGAGCTTTAAATCGCAAAAATCTGAGGGGCACTGCCACTTCGCCTGTCACCCGGAGACATAAGATGACAAGTCCCTTGTGGCTATAATTTTATAGCACTCTTACCCTTCAAAACCAGAACGCAGTGATGCTCACATAATGCTTGCTGCAGCAGAAATAGGTAAGGTGGCAGTACTTCCCTGGACGAAATCTTTCACAATGAGATATATAATCATGATGTAGGCTTCCAAATAGACTCTCACCTCATAAGTCCTTGTGTATAATCTTAATACTCACATCTAAGAAAATATCAGCAAAATCGTGAAACAATAGCACCAAACTTCCAATTCTATGTAGATCCACGACCCATGAGAAAGACAGCAACGCTATAGTCGCAATATGGTGGACGAACATCTGCCAGAAGTCCTTATGTTTCACATCCCAGAACTGGGAGAATGTTAACGCCCAGTAGAAGGCTGATGAGATCATGTAGTGCCACCAGATGTCGTTTGTGATGCCCTGGAAAGACAGAATGTTAGATATTAGCCAAACAATGTATTAAGATTATTATTACGTATAATGTAAAAAATATTGGCTACAATACAGTACCGTGTAGGACACATCAAGAAGTATTTTATTAATATTGAGATCGAGGCATTCACCTCTCATTGGGCACGGATCTCCCGGAGGGAGACGATTCAGGCAATAGTCCACCGCCTTGGTCTAATGCGAGTTGGGCATTTCACATCTCCAAGTGCTTTGAATGTCTTCGGCATGAAGATGACGATATTTTTCTTAACCGTTAACGAGAAGTAAACATTCACAAATGTAGTATAACGCGTTCCAAAAATTCAATTAAAAAAAAAGCATTACACCCAGAGTATCTAATAATAAAAGCTATGTATACTGAATCTATTTACACTACTGATGCGCGACTTTGAATGTTACAAATACTAATCATTCGAACGGACAAATCATTCACATTCGGTCGAGTACACGAGTCGAATGATTATTATTTTATCGGAATTCCACCAGATCATTCACCATGTCTATATCAAAATAAC